GGTTAGTTTGCATATTTGCACAGTGTATTACATAGTGTTACGAACTAACCCTAAAGGAGTAATAGTAAAAATGTCACTAATTCAATATAAAATCCGCTATATAGTTAAATATAACCTGTTTAAATTTGGTTAAATTTGGGCCTAAATTGGCCGAGTTATTTAGTTGAAAAAAACCGCGTTTAGTATGGGATTTTAAGTGCGCGACAAGGTGAGGGTGCGCGACAAGGTGGTGAACTACGTTATTGACTTTATCAACCACCACAAGTGGTGCCGTGCCATAACATACGTTAAAAAGTCGCCTACATCGGGCAGCCTTGTCCCCGTAACTAAAAGTGGGTTGAATTTCTTTCCAGCGTAACGGGAAGGCGAACATGTTTATTTTTGGCATGAAAAAGCCATCCAGCGATTCTTTATATTAACATAAGTACTATTGTCACGAGCCTTAGGCCCTTGCAGATAGATTAGATAGGCAGACCCGCTGCTTGCTTGGCCCGTGCATGGGGCCCGTGCAAAGAGCGGGCCTGGAGGCCCTGCCCGATAAGGGCGATAAGGGTGGCCATGCACGCACAGGATATCTTGTGCGTGCACCGCCCTCCCTGCGGGCCTGGATTGCTTCCTGGAACCAACTTTAAGCTACTACCTGTCACCATGCCTTTTGCCTTCCCTACCAACTGTGACAAGTATACAAGGTGGCTTTCAGGCTGTTCGAATGGCAGCCAAAGATCTCACGGGTCTATTTAGGAAGAGACGGATCGTCGGGATAGTTAGGGATCCAGCGGATCACCGACCCCGAGACTCCACACCCGGAGACAAGGCCTTCGCGGCGCAAAGGCTCCGCCGCGGAAATTGCCGGCCATAATGGTTCATTCACTAAGGCCGAGCGAGCCGCGGGGAAGATTCTCGGTCCTTTATTTTGTACTACTTCCCTGCCAGATCCGACATAACTATATATACCTGGCGATGCCCGCACGAAGAGCCTCCCGTTGTACTTAAAATAATACACGCTTATAGGACCAGAACAACTATAAGAATTTCTCACCCCAACCAACGGTGCCGGACCGAATGCTACGAATATAAGCCAAATATTCATTGCGAGTTCCAACTTCGTAATTTTTAATTTCCCACATCGTACTTTTTTTCATCCTTCCCACATATAAAAACCTTGCCTGTTTTGCCCAATGTTAAAAGAAACTAGGAATGCCATTTTATTTCTCCGTATTTGTAGGTTAACTTTGAAGGTGGTTTATATCATCTTTTCACCCCGCCGTTTCCCACTGCCTTTTAATAATTCTTTCACTTTTTCGTACGTAATTCTTTTTTATATATTAGGTAAGAGCTGATTAACAACTTGGTCAATTTCATGAACAAAGCGCTTTGCAGGTATTAAAATTAACTCGTTTAATCTTCTGATGCATTGCTGGCGGGTGTAAGCCCTCTATAGGTAACATTTGCCGCTGTGGGTCTCGAATTTCCGGAACTGTCCAATTGCCGCTGCAGGTTTTTCGCTGTTTCGCTCAAACTGTTCGCTTCGAGGCGGACATTGGCGATTTCGCCCTGGACACTACGAACATTGTTTTCGAGGTTGGTAAATCTGGCGTCGAAACCCTGGACTTGTTGCTGTACGATATCGAAACGATTTGCCATCTCATCAAGACTTTGAGTAGTTCTCCGCCCCGTCTCTGCGAGTTCACTCCTTAGGTTACTAAGTTCCGGTGTGATATCCTGGTTTCCTTGGCCTTCTTGCGTGGTCTGGCCTCCTTGCGTGGTCTGGTCTCCTTGCGTGGTCTGGCCTCCTGGCGTTGCGAGTTGACCTCTTAGGTTACTACCTTCCGCTGTAATTTCCTGGTTTCCTTGGCCTCCTTGCGTGGTTTGGCCCCCTGGCGTGGTATGGTTATTGCTATAAATTTTGGCTTGAATGCTGCGGAAACCATCCAAACTCTTCTTATATGTCCTCTTATTGCGCATCTGGCCTGTTAAATAAAACCAGTAATGTATAAAGTCCTGGCCGTCAATGTTTTCGCAATCTATTTTAAAACGATTTATTAAGTTCGATTCCGTAATAACGTGAATTGTTTCACGGTTTAAAATATGATCTTTAGCAAGATAAGTTTGTTTGTCCTCCTTTTCTAGTTGAATGCCAAAAATGTAGGTATGGAACGATGAACCATGTGGGACTTCAGCTATAAAAAGCATAATAAAGTGTGTTGTAGGATTTAAACCTGATTTAAGTTCGTTTAATTTTATAAAATTAGGGTTATCAAACACAGCCATATTGCTCTTTCGGATGAAATTGGCTCGATGAAGTCCGTTTTTAGTTGGCGTCACAGTAAGTGAACCTTTAACTAACTGGCCCAATCTCAATGAAATCCCTGCTAAATTTTCAATGATTTTACGAACCATAGTTTGAATTTTCGGCGCCGCGCTTAATTCCGGTCCAAAGCATATATTTGCGTTAGTAATCCATTGGCTTTCATTTTCGGGTGCTCCGCAATAGCCTTGTAAGTTATTTTGACTGCCGTTGTGGCTGCCGCCGCTCTGTGCTTGGCTGCTGCCGCTTTGGGGTTGGCTGCCGGGTTGGCTGCCGCTTTGGGGTTGGCTGCCGCTTTGGGGTTGGCTGCTGCCGCTTTGGGGTTGGCTGCCGCTCTGGGGTTGGCTGCTGCTCTGGAGTTGGCTGCTGCTGCTTTGGTTTTGGCTGCTGCCGCTTTGGTTTTGACCGCTGCTTCGGGGTTGGCCGCCAATATAATTAGCGCCCTGATCCTCAACGCTATCTTCACTCCCGCTGTCTTCGGGGTTATCAAATTCTTCGAGCGCGTTCCAAATAGCCAATTTTCTTTGAGTTTGGTTCTGGTACTCCGATGGATCAAGATCGAGTTTGCTTAAAAATTCACTATAGTGGCTGGCTTTAGGGTTTTCGTTCAAATTTAAAGCTTCCCTTATAAATTCATCCCACCCATTTTTAACGTTAGGGTCAAGTCTACATCCTTCATAAAATAGGACTTTTCCCCTGGTACTTTTTTTCAGCGTCGCTTCTTCTTTTTTTGTCATATTTGCAATTTGTATATAAATATTTAGGTTTTAGGTTGTGTTAATAAAAGCCCTGTAAATTGTTATCCGTTGGTATCTTATAGAGTTTTTATACGTTTGGCTTTTACCAATAGCCTTGATGCGTAACACTAAATACCGGATACCGGATACCGGATACCGGATACTGGATACCGGATACCGGATACTGGATACTGTGGTCACTGGATACCGGATACCAAAAACCGGATACTGGATAACGAATTATAGCTAAAATTGTTGGTAGGCCTTCGCCTAGTAGGGTAGATCTACTATCTCTCAACGTAGTGAACAACGATTGTTGTAATCTTGTAGGGTCGATTCCGTATATTGTGCACAAGGCCGAAAGGGATCTATCTGTGAGGGATCAAGCCTGGTGTGGCGCTAAGGCGATCGTGCAACGCCCGGTCTATCGATATCACGTGACCCGGTGGATCTCGGGATCACTGATTCCGAGCTCTGCCGGGCAGCCAATGCCTTCCCACTGCATGTGCACGGTCCGGATCCAACAAAAATATTGTCCTTGTTAGGGATCTTCACCTACCAACGAGACAGGACTGCGATAAAGTAAGCGTAGATTTGACTATCAAAAGCTAGAGAATAAAGAAGGGAATCGGTGCGTTGCACCGGCCAATGTTGGTCACGATCTCTGTTCCATGGCTATGAAGAGAGAGGAAAGGGACTAGCCCAAAACCTCCGTCTCGGTCTATCTAAATAGATACAGAGATAGGCTGTTGCCTAGGGTGCATGGACCATGGTGGCTGCGGGCTCTTTCCAACAGCCAACGCGTGCAGAGATTTATCCGCGCGTTGCCCCTGCACGGGCCACGTGGTCACGTGACGTCGTGCCCTCCATGGCCCGCAATCTGGAGGGAGGCCTGCAAGGCCGTGCCGCTCCATAACAGTTCTATACCAATTTTTAACACGGTGTTTAAATTTTTATGGATGTATAATCATCCACTCTTTTAAATTTTGCGTCTCCCTTGTCTTTTCGCTTTTCTTTAAGATAATATCTTTATAATCCCTTTATGGCCTGGCAGCCTTTCCCCGAAACCATATTACGGTAACTTGTTTCTTTAAGCAATGGCCGCGTTCCTATTAGGAAATCGTTACGGTGTTAGCCTGCGGCTTCCCACGGGCAGCTTGCGCCGGCCCCTCCCAGTAGAGAGTGCACAAAGCGACTTTTGTATTTCGGCAGTTTAATTGTACATTTAGCAAGCTATAGTATCAGTTTTTCTTTACGCATGCAATAACCGGTTTCGCAATTTACAAAATAAGGAAGTATAATTGTAAGGATTATACAAAATGATCTTCGCCAGGAATTTGACCCCGAATTTCTTCTAAAAGCTCATCAAGCGAGGATAAAGGCCAATTGTTATGCCTTAACTCATCTATTGGGATTCGATGATCTTTTCTTCCAAAAACGCAATTAAGCCCTTGGTCCTCAATTAGGTCACAAAGTTTATAAGGACAGTTGCTAATCATTTCCGGATGGGCTTCGGCTTCCGTTTTTACCCCAATGTGTATAACTGAATCCAAAGATGCGACGACGGTAGTTATATTTTTAAGAAATCCTTTTTTTAAATGTACTTTTGGTTCCTCGTTGACAAGAGACTCTTCTTGAAGCCATGACGTTTTATCATCAGCTCCAAATCGAAGCTTCGAATGCTTTAAAAATGATAACAACGCGTAGAGTGATGGCCCAGGCGACAAGCGGCATCGCAAGCGGAGCTCGATAAACGATTCCTGTCCGAAGATGAAGGTAGGAACTGAAGCTAACTCCACGTAAAATAAGCCCGCGATAGTGCGATTTTTAATTAATTCACAGTTATCGCCGTGCATTTTAATTATAAGATCTTTTTTACCTGGGTTTAAAAGGGTTTCTTTTCCAGTTTCTAAATGTCCGTTTGTAATAATAGTTTTTAATTCATTGGATTGAAAGCGAAGGTTTAAGTGGTCAGGAAATAAATCGGGCGAAATACCCCAATTTAATTTTTCCCCGCCAAAGGATATTCTTAGCGGCTCACACTTAATTTTAAACCCTGTTAAATTTTTAAAATGAAAATAGCAGTCAACCGGTTTCCATTTTAACGCGAATATCGTGAATGCGAAATAGGCCCCTTTTACGTTAGGAAAAGAAAAACCAAGTTAGTAGGGGAAGTTGTTATAAGAAAGTCAAATTTTAAACGCACCTAAGTCAAAGCCGATAATCGTATCAAAAAGTTGGCAAACCGCATCATAAGGGCAAAACGAATCGTAAGGAGTTATAATTTTCCAAATACTCTTAATAATTTCAAATACTCTGTTTAAAGTTCTAATTTCTGAAGGCGTTTTATCTTTTAGTATTTTATACTTAAATATTGTTTTAATTTTAGGATTGAATATTTGTAACTCCGGGATATCTGACTTTGGTATTAAATTTGGTATATTAATTTGCAGCACTCGTTTTCCTGCTGTTGGTGGCTTTAAAATTGTTTCTTCATAATTTTTTTCATTGCATAAAGGACAGTTTTGTACTTTGTATCGCCAAGCTCCACTTTCTAGCGGGTAACCGCTTATTATAATACAAGGGTCGCACAAACGATGACCACAAGTTAACTTCTTTTGTGTTTTTTGCATTAAGCAGGCAAAGCAAACAAAGCTGCTTTCACAACTTTGCCAAGCAAGTTGAAATTTTTTGAGAAGATTGAAATGTGCTTGGGCAGATGGGCTGACAGATTCCCTGTACCTGGTAAGGCTTCTTTGTCTGGCTAGCTGAATAAATTTGTCGCGAACCCGAACGACGGAAATACGTGTGCACCCTTGTTGTGAGTATGCAAGTGTCATGGCATGGTCAATGCCAGCAACGTAATATTCGTTAAAGGTTTCTGTAAATTTAAAAACTGCAAAATAAATTAGCAATTTCCTAGGTTTAAAGGGGATATGTAGCAATTGTCTTACGATGCATTCCAGGAGGGTGTGCGTTGTATTCAAGCGCTGATGCAATAACTTCTATGTGGTCGAAATTGTCTAAGTATCAAAGCGAACACGTTCATTCAAAACAGGTCCCGCAAACTCCCTTAATCACCCCGGATTTTTAAGGCCGCGAAGCCCGGAAACCCCAACGGGTTTCCAGGAAGCTTTGAATAATGCTGGCGAACCGCTAAATTGAACCATTAGGGAGTACAGGCTTTTTTTTAGATCGGTTTCTGGACTTTGGCAAGTTACCATTTTATGTACTTTTAAAGTTAAATGAAAGTGCTAAAATACTCTACCACAATAATCACACCTGCAACGATGATTTACAGGCAGTTTAAATCTCACAACTTTAGGTTGTTGCAAATAGTGAGCGCGAGGCCTTTTACTAATGATAGAATTTTGAAGGTCGATATTGTTTTTAACTGAGCTGTTGTAAAGATTGTTACGGTTATACGCTGCAGCCAGCCGATTATTCTTTGGATCGTCAAACCATTCGATCTCAAATTGTTTAAACTGCCGCTTAACTTCGGATTTTATTGCATTTTGTAAAAGCTATAGTTTATGTCCGGCCAGTACTGGCCATTTGTGAGTGACTTTTGTTTGCTTTGTTGTTTTCGGAGCATGGTTGTACGTTTAGTTTGCCATTTAACAAGTGTTTGCCTGAAGGTTTTTATATAAATAACATTAGCCGCGATATGGCTCCCGTTTTCCGAAAACAGTATTCCGTAAACATTTATTTGTAAACAGAAAAAAGGAACTTTTAAAATGCATCGTACTATAATCCTACTCGAAGATTTAACGGTTCCTGGAAATATTTCACAACCCATACAAACTGGTAACTTAAAAAATAAAACATCACCCTCCGCCTGAAGGGCGATCCCTCCAAGGTGGTAACCCTATAAACAAAGCCCTGGATGAAGTACGATATGTAAGTAGCTGCTATTCCATTCTATACTGTTTAATGGAACAGAAAGTTCCTACCTATTTGTAAGAGATCAATGAGTAAGTCTGGTAGCGAGTGTTACCGCTCCTGGCATAAGTAGCGAAGCCAGTCCCGCTAGGCCAATAGGACAATAGGATACAAGTTGCCGACTTGCATCCCACGTTAGACTAAAGGTCTTTGCTGTAAGGCGTGCCAAACAAAGCACACCGTACTATTACAGCAAAATATAAATTATAAAGTAGGAAAGGGAAAAGGTTCCACAGAATTGGTGGGCAATAACGACAAGTAGTAAAAAAACTGGAACCACTGAAAAGGCTATTAATAAACCCGAAAACGTATTTCTAATAACAACTTCGCGAAGCCTTTTAAAGTTCTTCCGTTCGACACTGATTGGCCATAATCGCACCCGCCCGACATAATCAGCCGCTTACCGACAGCTACAAACGAACAGCTGAAAATTGCCAGCGCAAGGTGCTTAATATTATACAAAAACATTGTCGAGGCAATAAACGGTACAGCGACCCAAATTTTAACCTGGTATGCTAAACTTAAAATACCTTAAAACCACCACCACCATGGCAGTAAATTGACGCTTTTTTAACGTTGAAACCTACAGCACAGTGCTTGAAACTACACTTAGTTGCCCGATAAGAACAGAATTCAAGCTAAGCATGCAAACTCCACGATACCCCCGCTCGAGAGTTAGCAGGGACACTAAGCTTGTTCACAAAATATATAAAAAGCCCGGATTTATGTAAACCATTAACGGTTCACATGTTAAACAGGGAGAATTTGGCACTTGTTGTTTATGGCTAATTTTTTAACACGTTAGTACAATGTTGAAAGCGCTATTAAACGATTCTGTATTGCATAAAAATGGCAGTAGCTTTTCATGCTTAAAAACACGGGGCACGTTAGCTGCCAAACTACCAAAAACGATCGGCACTAACAGTAACTCCAAATACTGGATGGAATACTTACACTACCGGAGAATTTTCGTAGCCTCCTAATAAGCCTCAGTTCGTTCGGAGTTGTGTTACTTTATTTAAAACGGGTAAGGCAAAGGCTGGATTGGACGAGGGCGTTTGTGGCGGTGTAAGTGTAATTTAAACTGTTTGTGGCCTTCCGGGTCGACCGGTAATAAAGATACGGGGTGAGACAGCTAGTATTGGTGGATATCCTAAGTAGCTGTCTGTCTTCTAAACAATAGAAGGTTCCTTCGTACGGAGCCTTTATCAACTATATAGTGTCCCTCCGGAAGCCGCGGGCTGCAGGGCAACAAGGCCCAGCCTTGTCTCCAGCCTTGCACCGCCTCCATGCATAACCGGGAGTTGCTCAGCCGAAACCGGCGATCTCCGTACGGGACCTCCGGCCCGTTTTGGCTAAAGCTCCGTGCCAGGCAGGCGTTGCCTGTCCGGCCCGGGTTGTCTTGGCCGTGCCCCCTCCGTGTCACGTCCTCGCTTGCGCGCGATCCTCTAGCTGTCATCCAACATAACCTTTCTTTTCTTGCTTCGTCGGGCTGGGGTAAACGCAACCTTTTTTAATAAAAAAAATATGAGTAAAAACGATTAAGGAACCATATGTGGCAAAATGTGTCAAACCGGTTCCAAATCGCTTTTTTTGGACATGTAAACCAAAACGAAACGCGAATGCCTTCGCCCGAAAAACGCCTACACTAAAGTGCATGGTGATTACGCTTCCCCTTATTGGTGGCCGCGTTAGCGAGGAGCTTATAGACCTATGCGGCGCTATTACTACTAACAAAATTGTTAGTAGGAGTAGGTACTCCTGTTATTCGTCGGCACGGAGAGCTCCAAAAGTGGTGAACAAAGATCTCTATGATCTGGGGAAAAGTCCTGTAGTTGTGCACAAGGCCGGAAGGGATCTATCTGAGAGGGATCAAGCCTGCTGAGGCTATAAGTACAAAGTGTCGGTTGACGCACGAGCCATGGTCCCGTGACCAGGCCCGTGATCGCCCTGATCCCGGGATCGGTGATCCCGGGCTCCGACGCTCTCCCAATCCCATCTAGGGTGCGTGTGCCCGATCCGGTCCAACATTAGCAGCTTTGTAGTCGGATTTTTATGTGGTTGCTTTACTAGATTTCACAACGGCAACTACGAGGACGGAAACGGTAAAGCAGATTTACAATTTTCATTTTGTTAAGCTTAATTTTTGCGACTCTTGCTCACGCGGTGTATGAAATTCCATGGGCGAATAAACGATAAGATATTTAAATAGGCGCTTATTCGAACCGTTTTAAGCAATAAAACGACCCCGAAGTGGCAAGGAACTATGCTAAAAACAATACTAAAAACCGCGATGGTAGCAGCTAATAGGAACCGTGAGGTACGATATGCGTGGTCGGGTTACGCGTTTACAGCAAAAACGAAGGTTTAAATCGCGGGTTTTTAATACAGCGGGAAAAGTGTATGTTATAACACACCCTTTTTAATGCGTGCACTAAATACATTACTAACCCACTTTGTGTGCCACCATGCCACCATGCCACCATGCCACCATGCCACCATGCCACTATGCCACTATGCCACTATGCCACTATGCCATTATGCCACTATGCCACTATGCCATCCCGTATTACAATTATGCCATTTCGCGATATTTATTATCGTTATAACAAAAATATATATAAATAATACAGTTCGCTACATTTCGGTAGTTTTTAACTTAATTTTTTAAGCAATGCAAATTAGCCATTATGTCTACCGAATGGGATATTGATCATATCGATTATGACGTCGAGCCTAACGCTGACGAAAATGCCGACGCGTCGAATACACCCGAAAATGATTATGAAGAACACGGCGATTATTCCGACGGGCCTATGCTGGTTAACGATTCCGATAATACGAAAGAGCATAATACATGCAACCCCCGATCGGATTTTTACGCTTTTTCGTTAAAAACTGAAATCCTTAACGCAATCGAAGATTGCGGCTTTGAACACGCTTCTGAAGGTTAGTTTTACAAAATAACCTAAAGTATTCCAAATTTTAACGTTAGTTTTAGTACAACGAATTTGCATTCCTCAAGCCGTAATAGGGAAAGACATTATTTGCCAGGCCAGCTCAGGTCTCGGAAAAACGGCCGTTTTTGTCCTTTCTACTCTTCAACAAGCCGAACCGATTGCTAGCATTTGCTCGGCGCTCGTTTTGTGTCATACCTGCGAGCTAGCCTTGCAAATTTACACCGAGTACAAGCGATTTTCTAAGCATATGCCCGATATAAACATTGCTGTTTTTTTTGGGGGCAGGCCGTTTTACAAAGATACCGACCTTTTACAAAACAAAAGCACGCACCCGCACATTATTATCAGCACTCCTGGCCGACTTAAAGCGCTTATGCGTTGGGGGAATCTTCGGCTGGATGGCCTCCGTACTTTAGTGCTTGACGAGTGTGACCAAATGATTGGCCAGCCAGGTAAGTCCGTTAAATAATGGCAGTATAAGCTTTAAAAGGTAAATTGTTAACATTTAAAAATGACAGATATATATCGGGATGTACAAGACATTTTTCGTTGTACCCCCCAAAACCAGCGACAGTTTATGGTATTTTCGGCCACTTTATCGGAAGATATTAAGCAGATTTGCAAAGCCGAAATGCGAGAACCGATAGAAGTTCAAATTAAGGGCACGATTTCGAAAACCCTTCGGCAGGATTATATCGTCCTTAACGAGCAAGAAAAAATTAATAGGCTTCATGACCTATTAGGGGAGGTCCCGTTCCGACAGGCCATTATATTCGTTAAAAGCGCCGGCCGGAGCACTTGGGTAAACCGCTCCCTGCAAAAGCGTGGCTTTTACTCTATTGAAATCCATTCCGGCATTAGCCAAGACGATCGGTAAGTTACTAAAAAATAATCGTTATAATTTACTTTTAACTAATATTAATTTTAGGATACATTGTTATAATCAGCTTAAGCATTCCGACATTATGCGAGTTTGTGTCGCTACCGATGTGTTTTCCCGCGGTATTAACCTTGAGGGGGTTGATTTGGTTATTAATTACGATATGCCGGCGAATGCGGATTCGTATTTGCACCGCGTTGGCCGGGCTGGTCGTTCCATACGTGCAACTGGAAAATACCTCCGTCTAGGTGAAATTTCACCTTTTGCAATTTCATTTGTTACGGATTACGAACTGGCTACTTTTAAAAGCTTTATACACCTTTAAAGCTTTATCGACGGGGTTAATATTTGTGGGCGTATATTAAAAGGTTGTTTGGCTTAATGAAAGTAAGCAGCCAGCGGCGGTATAGCAATGCGTTGTTTTTAACTACAGCCTTTAGGTTTGGTTTTTTCTTTTCTTTTTCTGGTTTTTTCTTTTTCTGACTTTTTTCTTTATTTAAGTTTTATACTTAACTATTTATGCCGTTGCCTCATTTAATCAAAGTTTATTACAACAGAAATCGGCAGATTCGGTATAGTCGACTCCTTTATTGCAACCACCTTTTTGCTGCCTGGCAAATGATTTAGTAAAGACAACCAATCCCCAGCTAAAAGGACCACGAAATTTAAAGAAATTCGTTTTAAATAGTGCTTATTGACGAACACGATAAAATCGTTTACAAATACCCCAACATTGGAAAGATTAATACTTTTAAGGTTTGGATAATGCAGTTCACTTAATACAAGAGTCTGGTCTTGGATAGGGCCTCCTGGCGAAAGCTTAATACTAAGCTGGATAAGGTTAGGAAAAGACGATAAAAGTTTGTAAATATGTTTAATCGAATCCGTTTCTACATAACAACGACTGAATATTT